CCAATTTAAAAGCGGGGTGTCACTTTCACGTTAAGGACCATACAAAAGTGTCAGGGGGCCCAGGACGTTCAACTGCCTTTCCCCGACAATAAGGGGGGTTACCCAAAAGGGGCCCTGGCAAGGGCTTCCAAAACTGGCACTGGACAAGCACCTAAAGTCATTCCTGATCAGCCGGGGGGCCCCCCCCCCCCCGTGGTGTACGTTGGTTTGCGTTTCAGCCCGCAGCAAAAAGCCCGGGTTTATCAGGGGTGTTTTCCCCCGGAAAGGCCCGGTCACAGACCCGGGGCCCCGGGGGGGGTTGACCCCCGAAAAAATTCTCCAGGGAAAATCAGGTAGGTTTTCCCTTTAAATTTAATAATTTCTGCTCCCAAAGTTTATATTTTGCTAGAGAAAAATTTTCCCCCCACCCTTGGAGGGGGAAGGTTTGAAGCTTTGGGGGGGGTTTTTGGGGGGGGGGAGGTTTTTCAAAATTTTTAAAAGAGGGGGGAAATTTGGGTTTTTAGATAGTTTTGGGAAAGGGTTAAAATTCCCGTTTTGGGATTGGTGTTTAAGAAACGAACCAGACCGTCACGGTTTTTGGTCTTGGGGGTAAAAACCCCCCCCGCTAAAAGGGGGGTTCGGCTTCCTTAAGTTTTCCGGGGGTTAAGGGTTCCCTTTAGGGGGGAAAAGAGCCCCTTTTACCCCCAAATTTGGGGTGGGGGGTTATTTTTTAAACAAAAATAAGCCCCCCCAAGGGAAATTTTTTTGCTGTAAATCCTCCAAAATTTTTAAATTTTTGGGGGAAAAATAAAAGGGAAATTTTTTTCTTAGTTATAAGGGTTAAAAAACAAGTTTTTATTCTGTTTGGAAATCCAAACAGGAATCTTCTTTTCAGGGTGCAACCGTCTTGGTTGGAAAAACCCCCCAATTGCATTTAATTTTTAAATTTGATTGAATTAGGCAAAAGAATTTCCCCTGGGGGGGTTTTTTTTTTACAACCCCCCAAAACTAAATTTTTTCCCCCCCAAATTTTTGGCCGTAAAGAAATTTTTTCCACTGAGTTAATTTTCAAAATTACCTGATTATTCAATCCTTTGGGGGGGCTCTTTTTTTTGGCCCCCCCTATAAGAAAACAAATTTTTTATTGGGGAAAAAAAAGGGGGTTTTAACCCCAAAAATTGGGCAAAGGGAAATTAATGAAAAAATTTTTCCTTAAAAAGGGGTTCCATTTATACATTGGGATTTAATTATGATAAAAATTGTATTGGGAAAACCAAAGGAAGATATCCAAAAGGAGAAGGAATTAATTTCTTTGGTTAAATTGGTTTCCTTAGATTAAAGGGTTAAAATTTAAAAAAGGAAAAAAAAGTAAATAATTTTTTAAAAGGGGTTGGGGGGGAATTTTAAAAAGGAATGCAGTTTGAAGCCCGAGTAGATCTATAAACCCCCTATGATAAATGAACGTAGATATGTTTTGTTTATGGAGCAACTTGCAATGTGAACAGACTGCTGAGGGTTTTATGGCCAGGTTTGGCTTTGGGGTTTCAAATACTTCTGGCAGTTTTTTTTTGGGGACACACAGAGATGATCAAACTAAATGTAATTTTTTTTGATCAGGCATATGGTCATTCTCTTGAAAACTTTTGTCCTTTAAAAATCCCCTTATTGAGGAATTTCAGAGAAGACAGTATAATAACCTATGTGACATGTCAAGATATCTTTTTTAATTTAAAATAAAAATACCAGATATACTAAGCAAATTTCCTAAATTTGCTTGTTAAAAAAGATAAAGGGGAACTATAGATTGAGATATTAAAACCTATGTATTTCCCGTTAAAACCCCTTTTGGGGGCCCAGGGTTTTAGGCCCTTTTTTGTATCCACATGCTCCCGCGCTACCGTCCCCAGGATGGATATGGGGTGCACAATAAAAGCCACTTCGGTGGGGAAAATTTTAAAAATTTAGTAGGGGATATTTTTTACCAAAATTTACACGGGTTTCACATTCAAAAAAAAAAAAAAAATTCGCCGGTATTCTCCCCGGCCCGGGGCCCTTTTCCCCAAATGGTTTGGGTCGGGTTGGCCCCCCTCTTTTGGGATTTTCTGAGACCTAAGTCTCCCATGGGGGGGAGGCACAAAAAACCCCTCACTTTGGGACCCAAATGTCCCCCGGCCCAGCCAAAAAGTAGGCCCCCTCTGGTCTGCCTCCCCCCCCAAGGGGGGAATTTGGGGAAAGGGAGTCCCTTTTGAGCTAAAGGCTCGGGTCAGGCACCTACCCCCACCCCAGGGAAAGGGGTTTGGAAAGGTGTCGATTTTTACCATTTTAACTTATTTATGCACTGCTTGAACTTAGAATTTTCTTTCAGCAAACTGACGTATCTTTTAGAAAGGGGAAAGGAAGGAAAAAAAACAAAAAACTAAGATTTTTCTCGGGGGGTATGTAATAGTTTTCCCTTTGTTTTATCCCCGTCAATTTTTTTGTTAAAACTCAAAAAATTTGTGAACACCCCTCACTTTGGCATTTCTTGGTTTATTTTTTTGGGTTGCGCCCTTTTATATTTTAACCAGTGGGATGGACTTGAAATTGGGTTTTGTATAAAATCCCCGCGCCCCCCCAAACTGTAGAGGGTCTTTCCCCTTTAACCCCCGATGTCGCGTTTGGGACTGGGGGGAGTTTCCCGGGTCACAGGAAAATTTTCCCTTTTCAGGGACCCGCATCGTGGAGTTCGGGCCGCGAGGGGAGCTGCCCAAGGTTTTGCCAAGGCAGTGTGTACTCAGTTCCTCAAGCTTTAACTCCGTGCACACGAGGGCCCGGGTTTTCAATTTAAAATTGGGGTTTCCCCCGGACGCTGAATTTTCCCTGGCAGCTCCCTTTTTTTTTTTTTTGGGGGTACTAACGGAGTCCCCGGCTTCTTTGGGCCTCTTGGGGGGGTTTGATGGTTTTCGTACAAACCCAAATTGGGAAAATTGTGCTGTTTGCAAAGGGTGTCTGGCCCAGGAGAGGGCAGGCACCTTGCAAATTTTGTTGTTGGGGAAAAGGTGAATTCCTGTTTGTTAACTGCTCTTTTCTCGTAAATTTTTTCTTGATTTTAATCAGTCATAAGTGTTTATCATTCATTACCCTTTTAAATTTTCATGATTGTGACCGGCCTTTCCTGGAGCTCAGTACCTTTGTAAAATTTTTAAAAATTAATTTTGTTTTTTATTCATTACCTTTGCAATTATTCATGAGTGTGACCAGCTCAACCTGGAGCTCATTACCTTTGTAACTTGGTCATGATTATGACCAGATCTAGTTCATTACCTTTGTAACTTGCTCAGCTATCAAAACTTTGGAGTCCAGTCCCTGGACCAATTATGTACCTCTGTAATCTTTTGACTACCGCCCACAGGATGGGTATGGGGTGCATAATAAACATATTAAACTAACTGGTTAATTCCTTGGGGGACAAGACTTAAAGACCCCATTGGAAATAAGACACCAGTCCTCGATGACGCACTGACTTTATTGGGTTATCCTGGGTGGCTAACCCTTCGGGTTTAAAAACCCTAACAAATCTTATGCTTTTCTAACCACAAGCCTCTGTAACGTTCAGCGCCTCATGTGGGGGAAAAATAGCATTCTAAGTCATAGCTGTAGCCTTTAATCGTGTGAATAACTACACATTTCTTGGTAGTAGAATTAACACTTCAAAAAAAAAAATAGAACAAGCATGAGTGTTGTATATAGGCAGCATCTGTACCTGGTATTTGTAAAAGGCGTGCCTGACAGGTGCTAAGAGAATAAAACTCTTTAAGGATTTACAACCTCTGAGGGAAATCTGTTCCACTGATATATAACGCTACAAAACATCTTTACACACAGCTATTATATCTTGTATGTTAAAGAAAATAGGGGAATTAATCTTAGTAGTGGTAGCGCTCTTGAGATAGGTGTAAGCATAATATTCGCCCGACCTATTTTTCCAACTTATTCTCTGCATGCTGACGCACCTTCTACCTCATATTACTCTTGCTTCTGGTTACCTGTTCTGCCCACTACGTCATACACTGTTTTAGCCTCTCTCTCATTAGGAATGATAGAGCCACTCTTGGCGAAAAGTTTTATTTGATGAATGTACTGAACTGTACACTAGTTCTTTCTCCGCAGTTGAACGGTATCACCTTCTCAGTTACAACCATAATCAGGCTTGTTAAATTTTAGATATGTCCGGGGCCCTATTCATCCAGTTACTAGTTTAAAATAACTTTACGATATTGTCAAAGTAAATGTTAAGAACCGTTGCATTGAGCTAGAAACTGGATGAGTGGACAGCGTCGCATTTATCTATGGCTTGATAACTCACTTGCTTCCTGTCCTCGAATCTGGTGCACTATAGTGTATGATAGACGTCAGGTACTTTGATTGTTCTACTATGCATCTCATACCCATTCTGTGGGTGGCAGTCAAAAGATTAAAGAAGCACAACCCCCCTCAAATGAGGTTCCTTGATGCTGGTAAGGGGTTCTTGATCATGAACTGATTCTGGTCTCACCTCCCCTGGATCGAACCTGCCTCTCATTCCCCAGGCACTGTACTCACCTAGTTGGTGAGTACAGTGCCTGGGGAATGAGAGGCAGGTTCGATCCAGGGGAGGTGAGACCAGAATCAGTTCATGATCAAGAACCCCTTACCAGCATCAAGGAACCTCATTTGAGGGGGGTTGTGCTTCTGTATGACCCTTACGGATTTAGAGCTTTATCTAAATATTAAAATAAGAATAATAATGATGATAATAAAACAGAAACACATTGTATGCAGGATAATAAACCTACATTATGCTAGGAGGACTCGTTGATTTTGCAATAGCTTACCATAAAAAGAACCCTCGAATTCTTCATTTTCTCTTAAAGAATAACCACCGCAGACATAAATTGCCATAAATTTACCTCGTAAGCATTCATTTAACCCCATAATGTTCCTTTACACAAAACTAGGAGTGGGAGCAAACCACGAGTGAGGCGAAGAATGAATGAGTAGCCTGAGTGAAGGTAGTAGAGGGTGTGAGGTAGAAGCAGCGCCATCTGAAGGTGGAGGCAGGCAGGGTAGCGGTGCAGGCGTGAGGGAACCTCCTTCATAGTTTCTGGCTACTTCACTTCTCCGGGCAACCTTGTGTTTACACATTTGTAACTCACACAGTGTTAGCAGGTTGTGTCACACCGGGAGACTATAACTGCACGTGTTGGGAAGATGTGCGAGTGTCATGTGTTGAGTGTGTGGCGGGAGGCGAGATGAAAAAAGCATAAATTTCTTCGTCTTAATGTGTAACTGGATGAATAGTATATGACTGGGAGCTTAATAAATTACTGGGAACATAAAACATCACTAAGAGCCTAAAACATTGGGGTTTTCTGAGGCGCTGATGGTGGAGTGTGGAGATCTGGCTCTCCCTCTGCCCTGGGCATCAGTGTCATTTCTTCAGTTTTCTGCCTCTGAAGGAGCTGAGCCATGGGTAGAGGCGCCCTACACCAGCCCGTACTTCTAGGCTTGGGTAAATCCTGTTGCTGGTGGTGACTCAGGTGAAGGGGGTGTTAATGAAAGTAATACTTTATTTCCACATGACAGGTGGCTGGTTCTACCGGGGATTGGGCAAGGTGGTTCACCTGACCTAATTGTTAACTTATTGTTCAGGTTTCCCCTTTCGGAAGAAACTTTCCTTGAGAATTACCTGCAATATTTTACCCCTGATTCCTGGGTAACTGGGCTCGATAAGGCACAAGCTTTGTTGGCTCTTGACAACCCTAACAACAACATTGCTGGGTCCCTAATATATCTCTTGGGTACCTAATACATCACTGGATTATTCTGTAACTAGTAAGTGACAATGCCCAAGGGTAGCACATGTAAGGCCCGGGGCTGCATCTCCAACAAGACTGACAATCCAGAGCTCAGCTTCCACTCCTTCCCCAAGGATAAGGAGAGGTACTTTTACTTTTTTGTCAATATTTCTTAATAGTTTTTATCCCTATGATAAATTCTTTGTTTTATGAGATCCTTTTTGAGATTAAGCCATGAGGGGGCGATTATCCCCCATGACCTGTCTAAGACTAGTTTAGGCAGGAACCAGTTCAGGAAGAGAGCTAAAAGATTCCTAATGACTGTTGTAACATTGTAAATTGTACTAATTGTAATACTGTAATTTGTTTTTGTGTTACCACACTACCTCACTATTGCAAATCTTATTAATTACAAATTTTTTGGGCTACCTAACTTTAGTGATAAGGTAAAATAATGAATAATTAAAATTTACCACCCTATGACCTGTCCAGTTTTAAGTAGTGTGTAAGCATTAGGATTAGTCTGCCTAAAATGCCCTGGCATGTTAGTGGCTTTCTTGTACTTGACAACGTTTTATAAAATGTGTAATCATACATTGCAACCCTTGTAAAGAAATAAAATTTGTTTGTATAGTTAATGTTAATGTACTTTTGCAGCAAGTTGATTTTCTGGAAATAACTTGGTTTACTTTATTCCTATTGTACCTCTTTTTATTGTCACTGATTTTCATGCAGTTGAGTTACTTAGTTGTTTTAACTTTTGAGGTTATAATCATAACTGATTTCTTCTGTATCTTATAGCTAGGTTTTTAGTAATAAGATATTACAAGTGCTCTTAGTGTAATATAAAAAAAATAAGACAACAGCTAAAGTGATGTCATAGGAATTTAAGTCAATCGGTGGTTAATAGACAACAGACTTGCTGTATCAAGGAAAATGACACTATATTATTTGGTTCAAAATGTAAATTGAAACTAAATTGTTTTGAGCTATTGTTTAGTGAAGAACCTATCTCTGATAAGTGTCTACGAATATCATTAAGGTCATGCATGTCAGGTGAACTTATAGTTTACTGTGTAGTGAAAAGTGAATTCCAGTAGAGTAACATGAAACCTGAGCTGATAGTCAGTACAAGTCAATATAGTTTTCAATAAATAAATGTACAGGTTAGCAAATTGACACATTTAAGATAGGTACCATATAATGAAGTGTATGAAGTGTTCTTATAATAAATGGTAGCATCTGTGAGGCCCAAGCACAATAGTTAGAAATTTCTATAGATATTTTTTTATAAGAACATAAGAAAGGAGGAACACTGCAGGAGGCCTGTTGGCCCATACTAGGCAGGTCCTTTACAATTCATCCCACTAACAAAACATTTGCCCAACCCAATTTTCAATGCCATCCAAGAAATAAGCTCTGATGTGAAAGTCCCACTCAAATCCAACCCCTCCCACTCATGTACTTATCCAACCTAAATTTGAAACTACCCAAAGTCCCAGCCTCAATAACCCAACTAGGTAGACTGTTCCACTCATCAACTACCCTATTTCCAAACCAATACTTTCCTATGTCCTTTCTAAATCTAAACTTATCTAATTTAAATCCATTACTGCGGGTTCTCTCTTGGAGAGACATCTTCAAGACCTTATTAATATCCCCTTTATTTTTAATACCTATCTTCCACTTATACACTTCGATCAGGTCTCCCCTCATTCTTTGTCTAACAAGTGAATGTAACTTAAGAGTCTTCAATCTTTCTTCATAAGGAAGATTTCTAATGCTATGTATTAATTTAGTCATCCTACGCTGAATGTTTTCTAACGAATTTATGTCCATTCTGTAATATGGAGACCAGAACTGAGCTGCATAATCTAGGTGAGGCCTTACTAATGATGTATAAAGCTGCAGTATGACCTCTGGACTTCTGTTGCTTACACTTCTTGATATAAATCCCAGTAATCTATTTGCCTTATTACGTACGCTTAGGCATTGCTGTCTTGGTTTAAGGTTGCTGCTCACCATAACCCCCAAGTCCTTTTCGCAATCTGTATGGCTAAGTTCTACATCATTTAACTTATAAGTACTAGGGTTATGGGCACTCCCAAGCTTCAGAACCTTGCATTTATCTACATTGAACTGCATCTGCCACTTTTCTGACCAAGAATAGAGTTTGTTTAAATCCTCCTGAAGTTCCATAACATCTACGTTTGAATCAATTATCCTACCTATCTTTGTGTCATCGGCGAATTTGCTCATATCACTAGTAATTCCCTCATCAAGATCATTGATATATATTATAAACAACAACGGGCCCAAGACTGATCCCTGTGGAATGCCACTTGTTACTGATCCCCACTCGGATTTAACCCCATTTATGGACACTCTCTGCTTCCTGTCAGTGAGCCATGACTCGATCCACGAGAGCACTTTTCCCCCAATGCCATGAGCTGCCACTTTCTTTAACAGTCTATGGTGCGGAACTCTATCAAAAGCTTTACTAAAATCTAAGTAAATAATATCAAATTCTTTATCATGGTCAACAGCCTCAAAAGCTTTACTGAAGAAAGTTAATAAATTAGTTAGACAAGACCGGCCTCTTGTGAATCCATGCTGAGTATCATTAATCAAGCTATGCTTATCGAGATGGCTTCTTATAATCTCAGCTATAATTGACTCTAGTAATTTGCCTACAATTGAGGTCAGGCTTATTGGGCGGTAATTTGACGGTAACGACTTGTCCCCTGTTTTAAAAATAGGAATTACATTAGCCATCTTCCACATATCAGACACTACACCTGTTTGAAGAGATAAATTAAAAATATTAGTTAATGGTTCACAGAGTTCCATTTTGCATTCCTTAAGAACCCTTGAAAAAACCTCATCAGGACCCGGCGACTTATTTTGCTTCAGTCTGTCTATCTGCTTCACAACCATTTCACTAGCGACTGTGATGTTACATAATTTATCTTCTTCTAGCCCACTATAAAAATTAATTACTGGAGTATTGTTAGTGTCTTCCTGTGTAAAAACTGAGAGAAAATAATTATTAAAAATCGAGCACATTTCATTCTCTTTGTCAGTAAGGTGCCCATAGTTATTTTTAAGGGGACCTATCTTATCTCTAACTTTTATTCTATAGACCTGGAAAAAACTTTTTGGGTTAGTTTTAGAATCTCTAGCAACTTTAATTTCATAGTCCCTTTTAGCTTTTCTTATCCCCTTTTAAATGTCCCTCTTAATGTCAATATACTGATTCATAAGATGACCCTCGCCTCTTTTAATACGCCTATAAATTCCTTTCTTATGCCCTAGTAGATATTTGAGCCTATTATTCATCCATTTTGGGTCATTTCTATTTGATCTAATTTCTTTATATGGGGTAAATGTTCTTTGAGCAGCATGTATAGTGTTCAGAAAACTGTCATATTGATAGCTCACTTCGTTACCCCAGTCAACAGATGATAAGTGTTCTCTAAGCCCATCGTAATCTGCTAAGCAAAAATCTGGGACTGTTACTGAGTTATCGCTACTATCATACTTCCATTCATTGCTAAATGTAATTGATTTGTGGTCGCTAGCACCCAGTTCTTCTGAAATTTCTAAATTATTAACAAGGGATTCAATGTTTGCCATAACTAAGTCAAGCAGGTTATTTCCCCTTGTAGGTTCTGTCACAAACTGCTTCAAAAAACAATCCTGAACTACTTCTAAGAAGTCGTATGATTCTAAATTCCCAGTCAAGAAATTCCAATCATTATGACTAAAGTTAAAGTCTCCTAGAATTACTACATTATCGTGCCTTGTGGCCTTAACAATTTCCTCCCATAGTAGTCTCCCTTGGTCCCTATCTAAGTTTGGGGGACGGTATATCACTCCTAAAATCAGTTTTTCATGCCCCTCTGAAAATTCTATCCAAACAGACTCCGTATGTGTTACTTCAGACTTAATACCCGTTTTTATGCAACAGTTCAAGCGATCTCAGACATACAATGCCACCCCACCCCACATCTCTCTTAGATGTAGTTTTTGTCTAGGGATTTTCTTTTAAATATGCATGTAAAACTAGTGCTCATTTGATTTTAAAATTTTATCTGCAGTAGATCAAAAGCTGGTCAAAGTGATGGTAGAGTGTGGTGCAATGGCATTCTGAATTTTGATGCAGTCTTTATCATTCCAGATTTAGGAAATGGTGTGATTTGATAAAAAGACCTGATCTGAATCATAGTAAAGTTATTACAAACCGGATGTCTATGAGAGTATGCTCACTTCATTTTGAAGACAACATGTACATGAGCTCCAGCAACAAATCGAGACTTATTTGGTGTGCTGTACCCAAACCAGTTGGAGGTAAGAAACATTAATTTGTGGTTCCATCATAGTGGGTTGGGCTTAATAGGTATTGCAATAAATAATAATAGTTCATGCATCTTCTTTCTTGCAACAAACAGGCCGTATCCCACCGAGGCGGGGTGGCCCAAAAGGAAAAACGAAAGTTTCTCCTTTTACATTTAGTAATATACAGGAGAAAGGGTTACTAGCCCCTTGCTCCCGGCATTTTAGTCGCCTCTTACGACACGCATGGCTTACGGAGGAAGAATTCTGTTCCACTTCCCCATGGAGATAAGAGGAAATAAACAAGAACAAGAACTAGAAAGAAAATAGAAGAAAACCCAGAGGGGTATGTATGTATATATATGCTTGTACATGTATGTGTAGTGTGATCTAAGTGTAAGTAGAAGTAGCAAGACGTACCTGAAACCTTGCATGTTCATGAGACAGAAAAATGGACACCAGCAATCCTACCATCATGTAAATTAATTGCAGGCTTTCATTTTACACTCACTTGGCAGGACGGTAGTACCCCCCTGAGCAGTTGCTGTCTACCAACCTACTACCTAGGTAGTTCATGGATACCTGCTTGTAATTTTTAATGTTAATTTATGCTGTTGGAATATCTAGGTTGTTTTTTAAACCTTTCTTATACATTTCCTTCTCTCCTGCAAAATGTTACTTGTAGAGCTTTGTTGCATAAAAAGCTCTACACCTTTCTGGAGCCCTGTCATGAGCCAAAGTTCTTTGGGCATATTCTGTTTTTGAGTTTCTGAAGCCCAACAAAGATATGTAATTCATACAGGCAAATTGTACTGGTAATACTATTCCTCGTTGTACATGCATGTATAATGTTACTTAGGTAACATTATACATGCATGTACAAGCATATATATACACACCCCTCTGGGTTTTCTTATATTTTCTTACTAGTTCTTGTTCTGGTTTATTTCCTCTTTGTTTTTATTTTTGGGCCACCCTGCTTCAGTAGGATATGGCCAGTTTGTTGAAAGAAAGATGAATAGAATTCAGTACTCGGTATATAGCAGAATTAAGAGGATACTAGTAATCAAGTAATTACTATACGGAAGACTATTCTGTATTATATATTTTTTCTTCAGATGATGAAGGTTCATTATCGGTATCTTCATCTTCAAATGCAACAGTGTGTGTGGACAGCAAGGCTGCTCTGGATACTAAAGTAAATATACTAGAAAAGCCAAAAGATATAGCATCAGGTAAGGGATGGGATAGTTTAAAAGTACTTGTCGTGCTATAACATTACTTTGGCTTTTGTAAGAATAATCAGATCATACTCAGAACTGTACTTTAATTATGTAGAATTTATTTCAAGAGTCAGTAGCAAAACTGAGTTCTTAGTGTTTTGTACCCCACTTTCAACTAATGTTCAAATGTTTCTTGTTAAAAATACTTGCAAATTAAAGAGACACCCTAGAATGTATCAAATCTAGGGTTAAAAAATGGCTAACATAAATCATTGATCAAATATTCAATCAAACTATGACTACGCAAACATTAATTTATTTTAGGTGATGAATATTGCATGCCGATTAATGTGCCTCTTCCTTAGAGCAGTGAATTGCAGAGATGAAGAATCCCATATGTACATTGTACTAATTTTAATTAGTCTGCAACCTAAATATGACTCTGACAGATTTGTATGTAAAGTACTACTATAATTAAAGTAAGGAAAAAGTTATGTATTAACCTATTTCTCAATTTCTCAACAGCCATGCAGGATATTGATTCAACTGTATTGGCCCAGCCCCTTCCTTTAGCTAAAGGTAACAAGAAATTTGATTGGTCCTTGACACTCGATGAGGAGGTGATAATTAAAGAAGGTATTTTTATTGCATTCTGGTCTCCAATAAGATATGAATATACTGTATTTTTATTAGTGAAATCATGTATGTAGGAAGAGTTATATATGTGTGAAGAGTCCTTATTTAATGTCAAATTTTAGATCTCTTAAAAATTCTTACACTACCTAACTAGTGTATTTTTATTGAGTGCAATAATTATTTTAGAGAATATGATGGAACACGAGAACCACTTGGACCTCTCTCCTCCACCCTCACCAGAAGCAGACTCTCCGTCAAGTTTTTATGCTGATACTAAGGAAGGCATCATCAAACATGACAATACAGGTGTAGAAGCTGTTTAGTTTTCCCATTCACAAATTTTCTAACTACCTAGCTGTAGAAACATTTATTTTATTTTGTAACACATTAGCCATTACCCACTAAAGCAGGCCAACCCACAGGAAGAAAAGCATTCAACATCACTCATTTTCATTCTCCAGATTGCACAGATATCAGAATTCAGATCATTCCAAGCTGCATCATCTGCATCCATCCTTTATTATTGCAGGTACTTCATCCATTTCTCCATGGGGAAGTGGAATTATAAATCTTCCTCAGTAAGCCATGCATGTCGTAAGAGGTGACTAAAATGCCAGGAGCAAGGGGCTAGTCACCCCTTCTCCTGTATTGTATATATATATATATATATATATATATATTTTTTTTTTTTTTTTTTTTTCAACAAGTCGGCCGTCTCCCACCGAGGCAGGGTGACCTAAAAAAGAAAGAAAACAATTTTTTTTTCTTCTTATTCTTTTTAGTAATCTTTACAGGAAAAGGGGTTACTAGCCCATTGTTCCCGGCATTTTAGTTGACTTTTACAACACGCATGGCTTACGGAGGAAAGATTCTTATTCCACTTCCTCATGGATATAAAAGGAAAAGTAATAAGACCAAGAACTATTAAGATAAAATCAAAGAAAACTCAGATGAGTGTGTATAAATAAATGTGTACATGTATGTGTAGTGTGACCTAAGTGTAAGTAGAAGTAGCAAGACATGCCTGTAATCTTGCATATTTATGAGACAGACAAAAGACATCAGCAATCCTACCATCATGTAAAACAATCACAGGCTTTCGTTTTACACTCACTTGGCAGGACGGTAGTACCTCCCTGGGCGGTTGCTGTCTACCAACCTACTACCTAGGATTGTATATATTACTAAATTTAAAAAGAAACTTGTTTTTCTTTTTGGGCCACCCTGCCTCGATGGGATATGGCCGGTTTGTTGAAAAAAAAATCGTCCATTGGTATATTTCTTTCTGTTCGTCACAATTTTTAAACCTTTCTTTCTTTCAACATACCAGCCGTATCCCACCGAGGTGGGGTGGCCCAAAAGGAAAAACGAAAGTTTCTCCTTTCAAATTTAGTAATATATACAGGAGAAGGGGTTACTAGCCCCTTGCTCCCGGCATTTTAATCGCCTCTTACGACATGCATGGCTTACAGAGGAAGAATTCTGTTCCACTTCTTTGTTTGCATTGTCATCATTTGCTTATACAGTACCTGTGACTAGTTCTTGAGGGCTTTTCTACCTTGCAACCAGACCTGAGGCCAGGCTCTCTGGTTGATAGCGTGTTTAACCAGGTTGTTGCTGCTATTGGCCTGTTTTTCCACATATTCATCATAGTATAATTCATCTTGCTCTTGGAAGTAGTGTTCTAGTTTCCTCTTGAAAACTAATACATTTGTTCTGGTCTGGAAAGTGCTATTTAAAGAGCTAAGCCTGTCAGACAAGTTAACATACCTATTATTTGTTACTTTTATTAAATCTAAGACAAACTCAGGTGTTTGCCTTTTTCTGGTACTCATTGTGTATTATATAATGTTCTCCTAGTATTTTTTTTTATGGTTAAATTTTATTTTGCTGAACTTCACACATGGATATTTCAGTTGGATTTATTTTTTATGTGCCTGTTTACCACAGAAATGAGGAACAGATTTGAGATAATGATACAAAAAGGAATACAGGCACCTTGTTACTTCCTCCACAATTGTTTTCATGGATGTGCTTTAAATTTGTAGTAAAATGGTTATTTTTTCTGGCAGTATATGAATATTATTGGTATGTAATTGACTGTTAGCCATAGTTGGCCCACATTCAGTGCACTGATACCCTGACAGTTATTTGCTTTACATATTCTTCTTTGCATAGTGGTACCACCACTGTATTTATCCAGTCCACCAAGCATTACAGTATCTCAAATTGTAATTTATTTTTTTCATAAGTGATTGTATTTGCATTAGTTAATTTCATTCCATAGAAGTACAGTATTCTAGTACATTTATCTTAAAACTGTGATTTTTTTTTATTTTGTATTCTATTTCTTCAGAAGGAATTCATTATAAGTTTATCTAATACTGTTCCTTATTTTAATGTTCCATTTCAGACACTACAGAAGACTGTACAGACTACAGCCTTTTTCTGAGTCCTTCAGGTAATGCTTCATCTCATGGTTCTGATACTGAAGAAGATGGCAACTCTAGACCTTTCAGTCAGAGAGGTGAGGCACAGATGAGCTTAAGCAAGGGCTTTTTACTTTATGAAAATTGAAATAACAATAATAACGCAGTTTTTCTACGAGTTTTTGCCTATGAAAAGAGTACTGTACAGCCTCTCCTCACTTAGCGACATACTCGTTTACTGACAACTTAGACTTACGATGGGCTCTCTGACCAGTATGCATACCTAAATATTGTACATTAGAGCTATTTCCTCTATTCTGACAATTACAATATACAGTATACTACTGTATAAACATTTAAAAATATATTAAAAATGTTATAATTGTGCAAACACACAATATCAAGGATGGTTGACACAAACCTGCTATCATAATAGTATGCTCCTTGCTTAGTTTACTGATATGGCCTTAGGAATGCAACTCCATCATTAAGTGAGGAGAGGCTGTACTTGTTACTGATTCCCAAGCATCCCAATAACTGAAGATAACCTGGGTTGATGTTTCTGCTCATGGCCTGAAAAGCTCAAAACACATCAAAAGTTTTTTGTAACCCTTTCACTTTTACAACCCCCAAAATTAATACTGCAAACATTGTCACAATTTAAAAAAAAAAAAATTGAAATAGTGAATCCTTTTCTGAAGATAATAATACCAAAAATGTGAAATTTGATGGAGAACTTACGGAATTACACAGGCGCAAAGTTGGCGGTGTGGGCACAGCTTACGCATTGGCAATTTTGCCCTCTTTGAGTCCTATTTTAAGCAAATTTCAATACTCATTATGGCCCAGTTCCTAGCTATTTTGCTTTGAACTGGAGGGGAGGGGTAGGGGTTGTCCTAGAAAAGGATGGAGGGAGGGGGGTGAAAGAGATTTTGTGTGCAAGGAGCTTGGACATACAGCAAGCATGTGTGAGCATGTTAGATAGGAGTGAATGGAAACGAATGTGTTTTGGGGATTTGATGAGCCACCTCTCTGGCCCTATGCTGCACTTCCTACTAGAGTGATGCACTGAACACATCGATTCCAGGTTGAGGGACTGATTACCTCAAACTTCTACTCTCCTTACCCATTCCGACTTTGTATTGAACTGATGAAGCCACTGTGTGGCGAAACGTTTCTTCAATAAAGATTCCCATGCATTGCATAAGTGTCTCAATTCTTCAACTTGTCGGTTTTCAAAACCATTCTTCACTGAATATTGTTTAAAACACTCTTCCATCTTCTAGTCATGACGGTGGGGGATTGGGAGGGGCCTCGCAAGTGGAATATCTTATGGCCTCTCTTCGTCTCAATCTGGCACTGCTCAGGGTTGAGGAATTTAAAAAAAAAAAATCTTTTCTAATGAAATGATAGAGAATCTTTTTCCAAAGATAATGAAACCAAAAGTATGAAATGGGATGGAAGACTTACAGAATTACGCTTTTGCAAATTTAGCAGTCTCTGGGATATTGATGCATTGGCAATTTCACCCAATTTGAGTTCTATTTTAGGCCAATTCCTTTGTTCCAGTGATGAAACTCATAACTATTTCACTAGTATTTCTTCCATTCTGTCAATTGGGTACAAAATAAAAGTCCATTTCCTAATTTCAGTTACCCGGTAAAGTGGCCAGAAATTGGTAATTTGGACAATTTCACACAAAAAATTAAAGTGCCAATTTATAAACAGGGTTCAGAATAAACAATGTAAACATTCCTGACACAAAAAAAAATTCCTTTTTTCATTAGTTACGTTCCCAGGCCTCTCCTATATTATGCTTGCTTTCCATTTTGAATTTTTGTTCACACAAAAAATAGAAGATTTACTGTTATGTAGACCTATGAATTTTTTTTTTTCTTCAATGAGTCGGCCATCTCCCACCAAGGCAGGGTGGCCCCAAAAAGAAATACTGTCATCATCATTCAGCACTTTCACCTCACTCATACATAATCACTGTTTTTGCAGAGGCACCCAGATACAACAGTTTAGAAGCATATATAAAGATATATAACATATCCCTCCAAACTGCCAATATCCCAAACACCTTCTTTAAAGTGCAGGCATTGTACCTTCAATTTTCAGTACTCAAGTCCGGCTATATAAAAATAACCGGCTTCCCTGAATCCCTTCACTAAATATTACCCTGCTCACACTCCAACAGCTCGTCAGGTTCCAAAAACCATCCGTCTCCATTCACTCCTGTCTAACACGCTCACACACGCTTGCTGGAAGTCCAAGCCCCTCGCCCACAAAACCTCCTTTACCCCTCCCTCCAACCTTTTTGAGGACGACCCCTATCCCTCCTTTCTTCCCCTACAGATTTATATGCTCTCCATGTCATTCTACTTTGATCCATTCTCTCTATATGACCAAACCACCTCAACAACCCCTCTTCAGCCCTCTTGACTAATATTTTTATTAACTCCACATCTTCTCCTAATTTCCACACTCCAAATTTTCTGCATAATATTTACACCGCACATTGCCCTTAGGCAGGACATCTCCACTGTCTCCAACCACCTCCTCGCTGCAGCATTTACAACCCAAGCTTCACACCCATATAAAAGAGTTGGTACCACTATACTTTCATACATTCTCTTCTTTAACTAACAAAAAAAAGGCACAATACCGTGACTGGAACGATACTATTCCCTTCTTTGCCTCCATAGATAACGTTTTTTTGTCTCCACATGTACGTCAATGCACCACTCACCTTTTTTCCTTCATTAGTTCTATGGTTAACCTCATCCTTCATAAAAACATTCTCTGACATGTCAACTCCCAAATATCTGAAAACATTCACTTCTTCCATACTCCCTATCTCCAATGTGATATCCAATCTTTCTTTATCTAAATAATTTGATACTCTCATCACCTTACTCTTATCTATGTTCACTTTCAACATTCTACCTTTACACACCCTCCCAAACTCGTCCACTAACCTTTGCAATTTTTCTTTAGAATCTCCCACAAGCACAGTATCATCAACAAAAAGTAACTGTGTCAACTTCCATTTTGTATTTGATTCCCCATCATTTAATCCCACCCCTCTCCCCAGCACCCTATCATTTACTTCTTTTACAACCCGGTCTATAAATATATTAAACAACCATGGTGACATTACACATCCCTGCCTAAGACCTACTTTTACCAGGAAGTAGTCTCCCTCTCTTCCACACCCTAACTTGAGCCTCACTATCCTCATAAAAACTCTACAGCATTTAGTAACTTACTACCTATTCCATATACTTGTAACATCTGCCACATTGCTCCCCTGTCCACTCTATCATATGCCTTTTCTAAATCCATAAATGCAATGAAAACTTCCCTACCTTTATCTAAATACTATTTACATATATGCTTCAATGTAAACACTCTAAAGCCTCCTTGCTCATCCGAAATCCTACTTTGTCTTAACTCTAATTCTTTCAATAATAACCCTACTGTACACTTTTCCTGGTATATTCAGTAAACTTCTTCCCCTATAATTTTTACAGTCTCTTTTGTCTCCCTTCCCTTTATATAAAGGAACTATGAAAGCTCTCTGCCAATCCCTAGGTACCTTCCCCTTATTCATGAATTTATTAAACAAAAATACCAACCACTCCAACACTATATAACCCCTTTGCTTTTAACATTTCTGTCATGATCCCATCAGTTCCAGCTGCTTTACCCCCTTTCATTCTACTTAATGCCTCATGCACCTCCCCCACACTCGCATCCTGCTCTTCTTCACTCCTAAAAGATGTTATACCTCCCTGACCAGTGCATGAAATTACCGCCTCCCATACTTCATCAACATTTAAAAGTTCCTCAAAATATTCCTGCCATCTACCCAGTACTTCCAGCTCTCCATCTACTAACTCCCCTACTCTGTCTTTAACTGACAAATCCATTCATTCCCTAGGCTTTCTGAACTTGTTTATCTCACTCCAAGATTTTTTCTTATTTTCATCAAAATTTCTTGACAGTGCCTCTCCCATTCTATCATCTGCTCTCCTTTTGCACAGACTCACCACTCTCTTCACCTTTCTTTTACTCTCCATATACTCTGCTCTTCTTATAAGACTTCTGCTTTGTAAAACCTCTCGTAAGCTACCCTTTTCTCTTTTATCACACCCTTTACTTCATCATTCCACCAATCACACTTTCCTCCTGCACCCACCCTCCTATAGCCAAAAACTTCTGCCCCATATTCTAATACCGCATTTTTAAAACTATTCCAACCCTCGTCAACTCCCCCCCCCCCCACTACTCATACTTACACTAGCCCACCTTTCTGCCAGTAGTTGCTTATATCTCACCCTACTGAATTATTGTAATAAATTGTATAAATATTGCCAGTGCATTCCTGAATGCGTATTAGACCAACCAGTTAGACGCGTATTGGACAAGTGATGCAATTTGTGCACTCTGGGATACAATGGTCCCTCATTTATCGCGTTAATACGTGCCTGAAAGTGCAACGATTATCGAAATAGATGATTTTTTAATCAGTTTTCCCCATAAGAAACAATATAAATACAATTAATCCGTTCCTGACACCCGGAAGTATTAAAACAGAAATTTTTTTTACACGAAATATAGATGTAATACGTAAACAATACAATGGGACATGATGAATGAAACATTAACAGCATAACACTTACCTTTATTGGCGATTCTTCTTAGTGTATGGAAGACTGGAGGAGAAGAGACATTGGATCAGTTATTGTTTGGAAGGGGAATCCCCTTCCATCAACACCTCAGATACCTAGTGCTTTTCTGGGGTTACTTCTCTTCTCTGTTTCTTAATGCCACTAGGACCAGCTTGAGTCACTGGAGTCCTGTCTCACAAAAAAAGTGTCCAGAGAGCTCTGTTTCTGGCATCTCTTAAAAACTTCCCTAAAATGGACCAAGACTCTTGTCACTGTACAAGTTGCCGATATGGCTTGCAACATCCTTCTCAGGGTGATGTTTCTCCATAAATCTTTCCATCCTACCCCACATTTCAAAAATCTCCTTAATTTCTGAAGAAGGCACCTTATTCCATCTCTCTTCCTCCTCCTCTGCAGCAAGATTCTGAGCTGCAATCTGTTCCTGTTCCTGCTGAAGCTCTTGCAGCTCCTCAGTGGTTAGCTCTTCCTTGTGGTCCTCCACCAACTCTTCCACATCCTCCAAACTCACATCCAACCCCATGGAACTCCCCAATGCCACAATAGAGTTCATAACTGACATAGGCTCATCAGGGTCAGCCACAAACCCTTCAAAATCCCTCTTGTGTACACAATCTGGCCACAGTTTTCTCCAAGCAGAGTTCAAAGTCCTGGTAGTCACTCCTTCCCAAGCCTTACCTATAAGGCTTATGCAATGGAGGATACTGAAGTGTTCTTTCCAAAACTCTCTTAGGGTCAAGTGAGTGTCTGAGGTCACATTAAAGCACCTTTTAAACATTGCTTTCGTGTAGAGTTTTTTTAAAGTTTGAAATGACCTGCTGGTCCATGGGCTTGAGGAGAGGAGTGGTATTTGGGGGCAAGAACTTCACTGTGATGAACCCAAACTCCTGCAGAATTAGGTCATCCAAGTTTGGAGGATGAGCAGGTGCATTGTCCATTACTAGGAGGCACTTGAGATCTAATTTCTTTTCCAGGAGGTAATTCTTCACACTAGGGCCAAACACTTCATTGAACCACTCGATGAAAATTTCCCTCGTGATCCATGCCTTATTATTAGATTTCCAAAACACACACAATTTACTCTTCATAACATTGTTTTTCCTGAACACTCTGGGATTTTCAGAATGGTACACTAGTAACGGTTTCACTTTGAAATCCCCACTAGCATTAGCACAGAACATGAGTGTCAGCCTGTCTTTCATAGGCTTGTGCCCTGGCAGTCCCTCTTCCTCCTGAGTAATGTAGGTCCTCTTTGGCATTTTCTTCCAAAAGAGGCCTGTTTCGTCACAATTGAACACTTGTTCAGGTTTCAGTCCTTCAGCCTCTATGTACTCCTTGAATTCACTTACCAATTTTGTAGCTGCAATTTTGTCTGAACTGGCAGCCTCACCATGCCTTATCACACTGTGTATGCCACTACACTTCTTAAATCTCTCAAACCAACCTTTGCTGGGCTTAAATTCACAATTATCAGTACTCGTTGCAGGCAATTTTTTTACCAGATGGTCATGCAACTGCCTTGCCTTTTCACAAATAATCGACATCATAAGAGTATCTCCTGCTAATTGTTTCTCATTTATCCATACCAATAATAACTTCTCAACATCTTTGAGTATTGGTGATCTCATTTTTGTCAGCATAGTTACCCCCTTTGTAACAACAGCTTCCTTGATTTCCTTTTTCTTGGCCACGATGGAAGATATGGTTGTACGTGATTTGTTATACATCCTGGCCAGTTCGGCCACACGTACGCCACTTTCATATTGTTCAATGATGTTTTTCTTAAATTCAATCGTATTTCTCACTTTCTTTACCAAAGGCTTGGCACTAGGAGCTTTCTTTTGAACCGTGGTAGCTTATTTAGCACTTGCAAGCACTAAAATGAATGGAATATTGTGAAATATTTCGTATGAACAAGTGAGGGGACCGTCGCTCACACACTGGCACACTGGCTGGGAAGGGAGGCCGAGGCGGCTCAGGGCGTGAGTACGCGTCCCGGACAAAGGGCGATTAACGAGTAAACCGACCATTTGTGAGCCAATGTTTGGACGAGAATAATGCGACGATTTCCGAAAAAGATGACTATCGAGCCGGACGATTATTGAGGGACCACTGTATCAGCAAATATCAAACATTTCTCTTATTTTGAGCTCAATCTCAAGCAACTTTGTCCTGAAACCAATAAAAAATTATCTTTATTTCTGTAATATATCTTCCAGTCTGTCATATGAGACCAAAAAATCGAGGATACACCCATGAAAACCATACGAAAAAATACACTGCAAGGTCACTATTTTAAACCAAAAATATGGTCAGCCCTCCCCCCCATTATGCACTGCATGTGGCAGGAGTATTTTTTATATGGTGCACACTTACTGCATAGACCCATTCTCTCCTATCTAGGCAAAAAATTTACTGCTCACAGCTTATATGAGTGAGCTGAACTTATCACGTAGTTCTATGGCACCTACCCAGAGTTCAAAGCCATAGTACTATGGCACACACCTCAAAAGGATTAAGAGAGCTAAATATAAATAAGACTTGCCATTACCAATGGCAGGTCTTATTTATACTTTTTTCTTTATATTTCTTCCCTGCTATTGTATCTGCTGAGAGCAGTCCTCATTTTTCAAATATTTTTCTCATTGTGGTCCAGTGACTACTTCTTTACATTATTGGTAGCCAAACCAGTATATAGAATATTTAAGAAAGTGAGGACACCAATTATTAAATAAGAGATTTTAAGACAACCCTGCTTTTTTTCAATATGTTTAGATATGTTAAGGATGCTACACTGCAGAATATTTACAGATATGATATTATTCTTTCATAGTTACATATAAGTCTTGTTAGAGTATGTTTAATTTTTCAGGTAACAAATGTATGGACGAAGTGAATGCATCTCCAGTGCATACTCACCTAAATACCTCTGCCACTGGTATTTCAGCAAAAATTAAATCTTCAGATCCCATGTCAGATGCTTCAGCATCTGTTTCAGTTACATCAGCTGATGGTTTTATGCAGGCTTCTGATGAAACTTCTAGTGTATGCCAAACTTCTGAAATAATGCAAGTGCCTTCAAGGGTAGTTAGGGACTCTTTGCCAACATTAAAATTATCATCAAATGAGGATGCAGGTGTTGCTTCACTGTTGCTTCCTGAAGTGAAGGAGGAACCAGTCAGATCTTCTGGAGCTTCACTAGATGAGATTCGCTCAGAAGAAGAAACTAATAAATTTTTTCAGTCGCTTGAAGATGCACTACGACCTTACCAGCCAACCAAAGCAATGTCTCCTCTTTCAGTTGAACCTTCAGAGACAAACAGCACCCCATTGCCATCAAGCACAGCGCAACTTTTCTCACCAGACACGGCTCCTCTAACTACCACTGAAGTTTCTCAGTGCAGTGACTTGCCAATTGCTGCTACTCAGTCCAGTGATTTGCCTTTTGTCAATCCTCTACCCAGTGACTTACCATGTATGACTACTCAGTCTAATGACTTACCATATGCAACTACTGAATCTATTGGCTTGCCATATGTAGCTACTCAGACCATTGACTTGCCATTTGCAACAGAGTCTGAACAAACAGGTACTTCATTATCATCAAGTATATATCAGTCTTGCCAGTTAAACACCTCGCCCTCATCATCACTATACACTCAGACCGGTACAACCGTTAATTCTTCCTTAAGTGTAGAGAAACCTACACTAACCTCTTCCCAGTCATCTATGGTAGATGCAGCATTCTCGCCAACAGACACGCATCACGTGAAGAAGCTCTGTTTCAAAACAAGTAGGGATGAAGGGCCAATTGTGGTGGATGAAGATGACGTGTCAATAGTAGATGACAGAGGTACTGTACTTTAAAAGTATATATCCCCTTTCATGTATGTTAATGACACCTTTATGTAACCTGCTAATTAAAAAAAAAAAAAGGTAACTATCAGAATACTAGAATCCTATATGTACTGTCACTGGAGAAGTGGTATAGTATTTTTGATGGAATATTAAAATTAATATAAAACAATGTTAGAAGTGAAAATAAACATGAAACTGAAATAGTCATTCTATATTTTATTGAGGATGTTGCTAAATATACAAGCTTTTTCATATTCTTATAAATTTTTTCCTTGTGTATATTAATTGTATTCCATTCATAGTACGTATTTTACTTTTTTTTTCTCTTCATTGACTATCACCAAATTTAGTTTTTTTAAAATATTAATTTTTATTTATTTTGTAGTTGGCTGCATTAAGGCTTTTATTAATATGCAAATTTGTGTTTGATTAGTTTGATAATTATCTGGAGTGATCTTATGTATAAAATTATATTTTATGAGGGTTTCTAGTCTCATTTAGGCTGACTGAAGCACAAATTGCTGAAAATTAAATATGTACTGTAGATATACCAGTACATATGTGGATTCACTAAGTAAGGATTTGAATTGACATGAAATTTGATAACTCTTGTAAAATTTAAATTTATTCTTTACCTTTTTAATGTAGTAAAGAATTAAAGTGATCCACATAAAAATTTTATGTAAACTATAAGTATGCTAATTTTCTAAAGTAATGGAGTTGGGCAATATTTTTCTCCTTTGCACTGTTAGGTTATCTGAATTAAAATCTTTAGATCTTTCCCATCCTTATGTGCTTCACTTTTAGATTTGACTCCTTACATTTTAGTGGATACAAAGCTTTCTTTGTGGGTGCTGTAAATTCTTCTGCCTTTTCTGTAGTTCTGGGCCATCCACTCTCCCACACAGTAGATCTTTTCATATTATCCAGTTTTTGCCCAACTCTTACATACTCAATAGCAAGTTCATTGGTTCATTTTGATAACCAGCACAGTTCTCTGTACAACTACATACGGTCTTTGGACCATTATCATAACATGGCTGGTGCTTGTGGGAAACTTCTACACCCTTGCTCTGCTAAGCTTGCCAGATCATTGTAACTGTACTGCACATCTTTATATTTTTCCTACCTTAGAGCATGATTGTTTTTTGTTCCCAAGCACTTCGGTTTACTCATCTCTGCTTTGCTCGCTATGGCAGCCCTCTTTTCTGAAAATACAATTTTTCAAACACAACTGTTATATTATCTTAAATTCCTAGTTTCTGGACATGGAATGTAGATTAAATTTTTGCAATTACATTTTGCATATGTCCTAGTTTTAGTAACTTTTCTAGTTCATGCTTTTTGAATTTCAAAGAAAGATTTCCTGTCAGAGATGATCTGCAGTAAGCTTAGAAAAATGGATAATACCTTTGTGAATTCATTATTAATGTTTTGCATTTTTCAGATGATCCAGAATGTGAAAAGAATTGTCAGTGCAGTAAATACGAAGAAAAAATTGATAAGACTTCATTAGCAACGACCAAGCCTGCTTCCCAAGTTCATCGCACATGTTAGTTCATTGTCATTAGATGTATATAAAATTCTACAAGTACAGTGCGTTTATATATTTGTATGGAAATTATGTCCAGTACCCTTTTAATAATCTGTATCATAACTTTTTAACTTTCATGACTAGTGCATAATGAGTGTGCTTCAACACTGAATCTACTATTCTGTAATTGTCACTTTTGGTTTGCACTCTTAACTTGTCTTTATTCTTAAGGGGTATGCTGTACTCACATGATCCCTACCATTTTCGTGTTTTTATACACAGTTTATCATTGAGACGTGATGTTATTTTTTTGCACTTTACTGTACGGTGTATATATACATATCCACATGGATCTGACTGCAGTTTTTCTTTATTTTCTTTTAGAAAGAATGTGTCAGTTTTAGTTTTTTTTTTTTTTTTTTAATTTAATTAGGAATGGGACAATATTAGAAATTTTACTGATACTCGGTTTTAGGCCGATACTGATACTTTTTCAGTATTTTTTACTCTCAGAATAAAAACTATGTTCAGTATATAAGAGAATGCTTATTGCTCAATAGGTGTTAAGTAACCAAAGGGAAGTTATCTTTATTTCTCAGAGATACAAGTTTTTTTTTTTTTTTCTTGACAAGTCGGCCGTCTCCCACTGAGGCAGGGTGACCCAAAAAGAAAGAAAATTCCCAAAAAAGAAAATACTTTCAACATCATTCAACACTTTCACCTCACTCACACATAATCATTGTTTTTGCAGAGGTGCTCAGAATACAGTAGTTTAAAAGCATTTACATATAAAGATACACAACATGTCCCTCCAAACTGCCAAGTGTCATTACTAATTACAAGCACCCCTGTGAGGCTTACAGATTGATAAAAAAAAAACTTAAACTTCTGAATCTATCAACATAGGATGATGAGATGATCACATCTTCTTTACCACTATCATGATAAAGAGGCTTTTGGTCTGAGGAATTGGACCTTTCAGTCTTCTTCCTCTGACCAAACCTAAATACCCCCATTCCTCCCTTCCCAGCCCTCCTTTCCCACCCCTCCTCCTCCTCCCTATCCCTCCTTTCCCCATCCCTCTCAACTTCCTTTCCTGCTTTTAGCCTTTCAGTTCTTCCCCTCCGAAATTCTACCTCATAGATTGGGGAAACAATGTCATTCTCCTTCCCATTCCGTTCAGGCACTTGTGATGGTGTTTGCCATGGAATCTGGATCATCTAGGGATGTGCCGATCCATCCTCCAGTACCAGAGGGCGAGTGTCGATGTCCTGTGGGTGACTGGTGTACCTCTAGAGGCTGCCTGTCGGTTCTAGGAGGTGGTGGCCGTTGGAAATCTGCCTTGTGGTGGATTTCCAACTGCCCCTTTTGTTGTCTACCAAGGTAGCTTGTTGGATGTGAGGCTGTTATCCTGGATCACTGGTTTACTGGCATGAAGGGTAGGGTAAGGCATGGGTTCCATGCTGCACTGCATCTGCACTACCAGGCATGCCAAGGGTCCTCTTTATTTTTTTCCTAAAAAATAAAAAAAATAAAGAAACCTACAGACCCTGGCTTGCCATCAGACCATTCTTCGGACCTCTCTTTCAACATGGTACTTTCTCCAGTTAACATTTTGTTGCTCACCTCTGGTATCGTGGTTCCAACCGACCCTTTTGATACCTCTGATGTGATTCTGGCTTCTCCCCCTACAGTGCATTGATTTTCGGATCGTACACACAACTCTGGACGGCCTACCTCTGGTCTGAAAGACCTCGACCTATCACTGGCGACTCTACCTTAGTTTCCTCTCACCAACTAGACAGTCCCTTCCCTTACACACTGTGTTTCAAGTCCTTCATGGACTAAATTCTTTATGCTCCAGCCAACTTCTCCTACTGACTTTCTTTCTGACCACAGCATCAGCAAGGCAAAGCATTTCCTTTCATGTCCTTAAAAGTGGCTCACAATGACACACCAGTTATGATTTGCAAGCACATATTCCTTAATTCTTGCTGTGGAATTATTATCCATCCACATACAATTGTGCAACGCATCTCCCTCATGAATAATGCAGACATTCTGGAGTAGCTCGAGCTCCAGAATCTTCCGATCATAAAAGTTGATGCTTACGTACTTCCTGCCCATGAGTGGAGGCGCTATTCTTGCAATATAGTGAAACTTAACTTTTGACAGCCGTGAGCTGCCTCCTTCTGTTTATGTAGCAGGACAGTGTTTACAAGTGTGGGAGGTGATCCTTGCATCACAACAATGTAGAAATTGCTGGCGCTCTGGCCACCCATCAGAATATTGCAAGTCGGACAGAATGTCCTGTCTGTGGTGCAGCTGACCATAGCAGTCCATCCTGCAACCACCCTCCCATATGTCTTAACTGCAAAGAGTTGCACCCTGCCTATTCTCACCATTGCTTGGTATTCTTAAGAGAAAGGAGATCCATTGTCTTAAATGGAATGAGGGTTTCTCTTAAGCCATGGCAGTTTCCCATCTTTGCTTCCAAGGGACACTTCTATGGCTCTCTAATTCCAGGGGGCACTAGATGGCCCCAGACCTTGGTGGTGCCTGCTTCCACAATTGCCTTAGTAACCTGTCCTTCCACAGTCAACTCTGTGTCCAACCCTTTTGCGGTCCTAGGCTCTAAGGCTCTAACCTCATCATCTCTTACTGTCCCTACTTTATCTTCCCACTCACAGGTTTCTACATCTACACTCCCCTCCTATCTAAATGAGCACCACCCCGTCTTTTCCAAAGTCTAAACCTTCATTTCAGTCCAAATATCCTTCAACCCCCCAAACCACTTGACATTCCCAAATAAACTTTTATTGTCTCTGAGTCTAGGCCTTTACCTCGGGATGCATCTACTACCATTGTGAAAGTTGATCCACCTTCAAGTACAGTTACTCCCTCACCTGTTCCTGCTGAAATTTCTTCCTGTCAAGACACCTGTACCCCTTCTTCAGTATCTTCTGTTGTCTCCAATTTTTATTCAGACTACATCTTTCTCTGCATTACTTGGAACATAGGTGAGAGAGGCATGTAATTATCTACATCTGGAAAATCCTGGTGTAGATAATGACACTGGTCTCAAACCTGCACACAGAAATCTCTCCATGTGAATACAAGTGACTTGGCAGATGATACAGAATACTTAAAAAAAAAAAAGATGGGAAGGGGGGGGGAAGTGCAATATGTACACTAGCAAAATTATAAAGGCACAATACTGTGACTGGAACAGTACACAAATACCTCACATAGGAGAATGAAACTTATGACAACATTTCGGCATAACTTGGATTTTAGCTAGTCACTATTGTAATTAGTTAATGGTCCAAGTCAGATCAAAACATTGTCATAAGTTTCATTTCCCTATGTGCGTGTTATTTGTGTAATGCACACTAAGGACTCGAGTGTCATAGGTTCCTGACTTTTCATCGCTCTTCCTTCTTGCATAGGGGAACTTTACAAGTTCCTTGTATCAATTCCTGACTAGCTGGGCTGCAGTTCATATGTTGGACTATGTGTGGCTATCCATAACAGCCTGGTTGATCAGGCCTTGATCTACCAGGAGGTTTAGTTTGGGACTGGACCACTGGAGTGAAGACCCCTGAAAACATCCTTCAGGTATCCTTCAGTATATTGAAGAGGCTTTCTGTGTGGGTGAAATGTTTTCTGCTGAGCAGCACTGTATGGCCCCTATGGGTTTAGCACTTGGTTATGATTTTTTTTAAACACATTGGCTGTTTCCCACCAAGGCAGGGTGACCCAAAAGAAAGAAAAACCCAGAAAGAAAGAAAAAAACTCATTATCAGTCAACTTTCACCATCACTCATACATAATCACTGTCTTTGCAGAGGTGCCCAAATACAACAGTTTAGATAGTCACTCCAAACTGCCAGTATCCCAAACCCCTCCTTTAGTTATGATTATAATCATAATAATAGCTATCTGTTGCACTTGTCTTACTTATTTTGTTGCTGTTGGGTACTGCTAGCATACCACTTGCACTCTTTAGCTCCTGAGCTGCTGAATTTTCTTCCAAGTTTCAGTTTTACATGACTCATCCACTGCATTGGCATTGAAAAAAAATCACTTTTTTATTGTGATCCATGAAAGTTTTTTTTTTGGGGGGGCACCCTGCCTTGTGGGAAATGGCCGATGTGTTATAAAAAATAATATGAACCCATTAATAACAATACTTTGGCACAACCTTAGATTTAATTATTCATTTCACTAGTAGCTTTCTTTTCACAGACTCTGGACCTATCAAGAGACAAGTTGTTAAAACTAAGGGTGGTGGCAAGAGAACCTTCATGATATTAAACAAAGCATCTCTCAAAGTCCTGCAAGCTAAGGGGCTAATTCAGCCACTAAAGAAATGTAAGTGAACAGACATTCAAGACAATAATTGGAGTGACATTAGACATAAAACCTTATTCTTATCCTAATGGCATCTAGAAAAAGTTAGCAAGATGGCACTATGTAGTTGTATTACTTTGCACAAGAGCATTTTGTGCATTTGCCGTGGGAGTTGACTTATCCAGAAGTCTGAGTAACAAGATAAGAGTGTCTTTAATAGTAATATGGGCTAACCTTGTTTAACTTTATGGGTCAGTTCCGGAAAAAGCATGATACTTTTTCTTAAAATAGATATTATGATACTGTAATAAACAGTTGACCTCTTGTTGAACATGGTAGTAAAGTCCCTGAATATTCAAAGGTTATAGTTTTTTTTTTTTTGAGAGCCACTATATTAGATTTTTTATATATATTTAAATTGGTGGAATAAGACATTTCCAGATTTGCTGATACTTAATTTGTTGCCAGTTTTTACACACTTGCTCTTGATAGACCTCTGTTATTTGTGGGGTACTATGCTATATAACCCTCCCAACAAATTCATGGGAGAGAATGAAATTACATTTATTGAGGTGCCACAAAGCTTAAAAATGTGAAGTACAAATTTTTCTGCCTAACCAGTTTTTTATTTTTTTAGATTTTAATTTATTTTGGACTTCAGAGATCATATTTCTGTAATATATCATTAAATGAGCCATGATTCACAATTTGAATGAAATATAATTAGTTTTTAATTGAGGGGTTTTGTGCCAAGTCTGGAAAAATGAATACCATAGGAAAAGTTGTGGATAATCAGAACTACCTACTAGTTGCTAATCAGTAAAAATGTTTGATAATGAAAACTATAAATAAGGAAGCTAGCACATTTGTAGGGGCAAATGTATTTAAATTGAGGCGTGCCTGTAGTATGTAGCCAGAATTGTTACTGGCTTTGAGGAAACTTGGAAAGTACAGTATAGTAATACCTTGCATAGTATGGTTAATGTGTGGTGCCAAAAAAAATACTGTACTGATCAAGGTATTATTTTAATGTGTTTTAACCCTTTCAGGCTCGACAGGCCCTCTCTCAGACTTGTTCTCAGGGTCGACCAATTTTTCCAAAAAAAAAAAAAAAAAAATTTCTTATGAAAAGATAGAGAATCTTTTCCTAATCATAATGACACCAGAAGTATGAAATTTGATGGAAAACTTACAGAATTATGCTCTCATGAAGTTAGTGGTCTCGACGATGTTTATGCATCGGCAATTTTGCCCACTTTCAGCCCTATTTTCGGCCAATTCCAGTATACTAGTTGACAAAAATCATAACTATTTCGCTAGAACTCCATTTTTTCTATAGAATGAGTACAAGAAAGCACCCATTTACCGATTTCAACTATCCAATAAAGTGGTCAGAATTAAGCAATTTTTGCCAATTTCACACAAATTTCAAAAGATGCCAATTTCCAAATAGGGTCCAGAATAAACAAGAAAGACATTCCTGGCACTAAAATAACATTTCCTCTGTTCATTAGTCACGTCCCCACACCACTTACATTCTTTTGCTTTCCACTCTGAATTTTTATTCTCACAAAAAATAGAAGATTTACTGTTATGCAGACTACTGCATTAGTGTAGAAATGGTATAAATAATATCAGCGCACTTGTGAAAGAATATTAGACTCACAAGTTGACGTGTATTGGACGTGTAGCATGATTTGTTTACTTTTGAACTTTGGCAAAAATTGAAGATTTCTGCTAATTTGAGCTCAGTTTCAAAGTACTTTTCATTGTAAACCCAATCAAAATCGTCTCAATTTCTGTAACATGTCTTCTATTCTATAAAATAAGACCAGGAAAACTAGAATACAGCATGTACTATCAAAAATACCATACGAAAATACAGTGCAAAGTTGCTGTTTTAAACCAAAAACCCAGTCAAAGTTTTTTTTTTTTCATTACGCACTGTGTGCTGCAGGATTTTTTTATACTGCGCACACTGACCACATAGGCCCATTCTTTCATATGTAGGCCTACCAGCTTTCTCTCACTAGATTTGAGGGCACTAGAATTTAGGCGTACTAGTACATCAAAAACCCTGGTGCGTAAGCCGTACTAGTACGTCAGAAACCGTGAAAGGCTTAATGTAATGCATTCCAACAATACAATTACCGTATTTTACAGCGTCGAAGATGCTATTTTTTTTTCCTCAAAATAAATCGCGAATATTTGCCCAGCCTCTTTTAGACTGAAGGTTACATAAGAACATGAGAAAGAAGGAGCACTGCAGCAGGCCTACTGGCCCATGTTAGGCAGGTCCAGTTCACACCTGCAGTGCTCAGTGGCCTCAACCTAAACCTAGAGAAATTTTTCGATACTAAACAGTCATCTAAGCTCCTCAGTATGACCCAATAATGAATCGTGAATAAACAGTAAATGTAAAAATTCATTGGCGCTTAGCAGCAGAAGGCTATGGTAGTATCATTAAGCTAATTCACCTGTTTACCATCAAACCAACTGGTAATAATAATTTTACTCACCTCAGATGATCCTAATATTAAAGGATTATAATATGTAAAAAGCAAAAGTAAAATTACAGCATATGATAGTTATACACAAAAGCCGCCATTTGCACACCGTAGATTTGTTTTGGCTGTGTTCAGTTGTATAATCATGAAAACATTTTATGTTCACTCGGTAGCATTACGGGGGAGTAACCATCAATTTTTTGTTTGTCTTTCTATCATACAATTTCGTCTAAAAAATTTGTTAAAATGCAAGAAAAACCATCATAAATCAATATGCAGTTCTAGACATAGACACATCCACTTGTACTCATCGAAACAGTGAGTAAAAAGGGAATACCCAGGCAGGTCCAGTTTATGTATTGTACACCACTCTTGTGAGTGATAGTATCCTGCAAATGTTCAATTGCAGCTAAATTGAGTGATGTGAAAGATACAGAAATACTGCCAAGCACAAGAAAACTGAAGAACCATTTAATACACAAAGACAGACAATGGAAATCAAGGACCAGAATGGAAATGAAGGAAATAAGTCACTGATTTTTTTTTTTGGGTGGGGGAGGTTATCCCAAGTAATTTGCACCCATCATACTATGCATGATAATTTGTGTAACTGTATTTACATGTGCCTGTACCTAAATAAACTTACTAATTTGAAACCATAAGCAATGTAAGAGGAACAGAAGGAAATAGTCTTGTTTGCCATAAAATGTGTTAAATAAAATTTATATTGTTAAATTTATAAACTGTATTATATCAGAGCCCATACTGTTCAGAACCATACTATGCAAGGTGTTCCTGTATTTGGCTTTTAAAAGTTGTTGTTGGCTGTTGTCCTTTAGCTGTCATCCTTATTTTAATTAGAAACTTGTGTCCTTGAATAATTGTAGGATGTCTCACTCAAGTCAGAAGGTTAGTTTTGCCTGAAGCCTAGACATCACTGTGATGTAAATCCAAGTTGGACTGAAATGTCATCATAAGCTTCTCTCCAGTGTGCTGGTTATTTGTATATTGCTCCACTAACCCTAGCCAAAAGATTAACCTTAGGAATTTTAAATTTGGGGTCCTTGGTCAATGCTAAAATTGAATAAAATTAGTCATGGTTTGATTGTAAGGTCTCTATATTTATGATAATTAAAAATGGCTGCCAAAGAATTATTCAGACATATTAGAGTACTGTTTTAAGTAATTAGTCACTTTTATTAACTAAAATATTTTTTTTTTTGTGATTGTACATACATTTGTATTGTTTGACTTTTTTTTCAGTCGCTGAAAGCCAGCCATCTTCTGGTGAAACTCTACTGCCTTCGGTGCAGTCAGTGCAGAATAAATCAAAAATTCAGTATCATTCGGTTGGCAGCATGCCTGTGTCACTTTCTGATGGTTCTCCTCCCTTATTTGAAAATGCATCAGTCTCTCCCAGTATTTCAGGTTCACCAGCTCGAGCGTCACATGCCTCTGTGAACCAACAGTTAACCTTGTCAAATAAAACATCATGCTCTTTGCCTCAACTTCCAGTTGTTGTAACATGGTCTGCCACAAATGGAACAGACACTCCTTCATTTACTTTTACAATTCAGCTTCCACCTGTCTCAAACCAGTCCTCTAATACCCCTCAGACTCCCCTTCAGATTGTTACTCCACCAGTGTTTATTGGAGGTTCACAACCCACGTTTACTCAGTTTCCTAATCAGGTAAACAGTTGTTTGCCAAATGCAAACAAAGTAACGGGTACTAACCAAAATTTTCAAGATAAAAATCAGTCTTCTGTCAGCAGATTTTTGAAAGCTGAAATGGAAACTGCTAAAATGCAGCAATCTTTTGCAGTTACACACTCAGTCATGTCTTCCTGTCCCAGATCTAAAAATAGCTTATATACTAATATTGTTGCAAATGATTCTTGTAAGTATTCAGTACAATCTCCTATTATGAGCACTCAATTTCCCTTGGTTGCTTCAGAGACCCCTGGTGATCACATTATTGCATCTCATAATGAAATAGATTTATCTGTTAATGATTTGGAAGATTCAAATGATTACTTATCCTCTGGACCTTCAAGTCCACTAAGGAATGCTGAGGAAGTGGTTACAAGTAAGAAGCCTGAGACAAAGTCGACTCCAATTGGATTTGCTTCTGGGCCTTGTAAATTTAGAAAGGGTGGGCTGAAAATGTACCGTTATGTAAATATGCCAGATGGTGGTAGTAAAGTAGGACCTAAAAGTACACAAAATGTGCGATGGGTTGCTCTTCCAACTGTGCCTGTTAACAGTGGCCAGCCATTAACTTCGCGCACTTTAGAGCAAGTTATTACTTCCTCATTACAGCAAAATACTCGACAAGAAAATCAAGGAACAGGGAAGACTCGTTCATCTGCTGAGCCCTTGTCTGATTTAACTGCTGCTATATATGAAGGGTTTCCTATTGGAACTATGGACCACAAAGGTAAGTCAAATCCAGCAGAGCCCCAACTTAAGAATGCACAAGTTATACTGATGTGCACTTACGTATAAGGTTCAAAAGATGTAATACAGGTATTGAGAAAACATGTTTTATGCATGTTGATTTTCTGTTTTGAACATGTATAACACAGGCATCCTTTGTACTAAAATTTTCTATGATAGGTTTACAATTGCAAAGAACATATTCGTAAGTTGAAACATCAGAAATGCATTGCATTCAAAATTGGGGCCCTACTGTCTTAACACTGCATTTATCAAATTTAACAAATAATACGGCTTAATTTTTCTAGCTATAATGTTCAAAGTATGACTGTAGAATGTCCAACAATACTTTTAAGGTTGTGTTCCTTACACTCTTCTTTTCCTTTGTAGGAATTAGGGCTGAGTAGTACTGTACCTTGAGGACCAGACCTTGTAGAGGCATTTGATTGTACATTACAGTACAATGCTTTAGTGATTACCATATTACTCTTCAAGTTTGATTTGTTAGAGTGTTACAGATCTATCAGACCACCATTGCATACTGGCTGTCTCACCAAGGTAGGGTAACTAAGAAAGAGGAAACATTTGCTGTCACCATTCAATTAATGTTTTCCCAGAAGCATGATAACATCACAGCTCAGATGACCCTCCAGACTGCACCATCCTCACCCATTCCTTAGACATTGTTCAGTAAACTTTCGAAGTGGGGTTTTTTTGCTATTGTATCGGCAGCTAAGACAAAGGAGTGCATGAAAATCTTAGATTGTTCAGTTGTAGATGAGGAAAAGGGATTCATTGACCCTATTCCTGGTTGTCATTTGCAGTAATATTCCAATTATTTGCTCTAAATTGCCTGACAAAGTGGTGATGCTGCCTTCTTTTTTAGTTATGTCTTATTTAAAATATGTTGCTACAGATTACCAATGAATTTGCTGCAGTGCTTTGTCATTCTTGCACATGTCTGGTTGCATTGTTTGCTATAACTTTGAAATTTTACTGCATCTCCATCAAATGCAAATATGTAATTTTTTTTCCTGGACTCCTAACCCTCTTGCTATTTCCAGCAGTAAACTAGCATTTCATTCTACCAGGCTGGCCATCATTTGTCTTCCAACTTCACACTCTTTCTTACTGTGTTCAGAAAATTTCTTGTTGCTGATGCTGTCATTGCAGGATTGGTGGCAGCATCATTGATATCTCATCAGCAATAATTTTTCTTCAAACCACAGGTGAGCTTTTGGCTATCCTTTCTACATAACCATTATGCTGTTATGTATAGATCATACAAGACACATGGTCACAACATAGGAGTTGGCTCTGCACAGTCTTGCATCAGCTGTTTAGTATTGTATATCCAGTTCCCATATGTGTGAATTTCCCTCAGTATTGAAATGAACAAGGTAGCAAATTTTGTTCCATGATTCTCGGTTCTTCTTTTATTTTGCCATTCCTTGTTTCTCATAACATTAGTGTAGATTTCTTCAGCTTATTGGGTGCTTTATTGAATGTAATTTACATGTTTAGTATTGTTTCTTCTTCCAGCTCATAGAAGTTACTGGAGCCTTGTTCCTACTGTTCTTTGGGTTTAGCTATTTTCCCCTGAATATAAAAATCCTAGCTCCCTTCTCTATTGTAGTGTCAGTATTGTATGATCCCTCCTTAGTTCAACACTTTTGAGAAATAAACTCTACTTACCTTTACAAAACTAATGTCAATAAATATTTTCTTTATTTCCTGCCCCACAGGAGCATCAACCATGCACCCATCACCCTATAAATCTGCTAATAGAGAACTCAAGATGAAATATGCTCGTTTACTTAATAAGCACAGGCAAAGATATCATTTGCTTTTGAAGAAATATAAAGCTTTAGAAAACAAATTTGCTGTTGTTGAAGATGCCGGTACTCCAGAGCAGGTTATCAGAGATGCTCGTAACTTCTTATCAGAAGAGCATGTCCTCTTTTTGGAAAGTCAGATGTTTCTGCGGAACAGACCAGGAACAGGCAACAGATTTTCAAAAAAATTCATGGGACTCATGATAGAATATTATAAACGTAGTGCTGCAGGTTATAGATTTCTTAGAACAATTTTTACTATTCCATCTGTTAAAACAGTTCAGAAGTGGCTTAGCAAACCTCTGCACATTAGGGAGGATGAAGAAAATGATCAGTTTGCAATACCTATGCAGAGAGAACAAGGAACAGCTAATGGCGGAGAAAGTAATGTTGAGGCTTCATGTTCTGGGTTAAGAAAACCACAGAGTACATCAAATGATGAACATGTATCAGGAGAAAGAAGGGACTATTCACAAAAATTTTCGCAAGGAAGATCAACTCCTGATGAATCAGATATGGAAGAAGGTTCATCTGAAGATTACGACTCTGAAGATTTTGGACTTGAAGAGATGGATGAAGAAGAAATGATACAGGAAAATGAAACTACTAAAAAACGTATACCAGTGCAAAGCAGTCAAGGTTCTAATGAGAGAGATATAACAATTCAGTGGGAAGACGAGCCATGGCCCACAGTAGATATGGAATGATTTTTACTTTTGCAATATGATACAGCTGTCAGTGTGACCTTATTTTATACTAAGTATAAAGCCTTATTGTAAATAACCCCTTTGTCAATAGCATATGGAATTATTGTACAGATTAGAAATTTTTTTATTTTTGTAATATATCTAATAGTCAAACATAACTCTTCAAAAGAGTTGCACTAAATTATGTACAGTATATTGAGTTATCTTGCATCTGAAGGCATTTCACTACATAATGTGGTACAATACATGTACTTGCAAATAATAATATCTGTTTGCTCTACCAGATATTTTGATTTATAATTTTTATATTAGATACCTACTGGATAACAAAGTATGTAAAAAAGTTGTTGGAATAAATAATTTTGTAAAGTTTTAATTTTGACTTGAAACCTAGAACAAAAAATCACTTGTTTGAAAAAATTTTAATTATTAAATTTTCCCCACCATATTTAACTTTTTTGTCATTATTATTATTTATTATATCAGTAGTACTGAATGACCCTCCATATTTAATGCTTTTGTGAAATAAAATAGTAATTGACCCAAATACAAACAAAGATGTTATGGGAAGTGATCAGTGATACAAAGGAACCCTTTCAGGCTTAGCACTTCTCCCTAAATATAATGGAAATAAATACAGTAGTATGATATAACTGCCTCCCACAAGATTAATATAGTGTGGCTAGTTCCCACAGGATGGGTATTGTGTGATTACTATCTACAGGATAGGTATAGTGTGGCAACTGCATATAGGATGGTTCTGGGATGAGTCCTGCCCATGGGATGGGCATGGGGTACTTAATAAAGCTGTCAAACTTACTAGTGAGGAAGCAAATAAAAGTTACAATACCTGTAGGTTACCTGTCATCACTTCAAGGGGTCACTGGCCCCTCAGCTTGGTCCCAGACCAAGCCTGGTTGCTACCCTGATCAGCCATGTCTTTTGTACATATAAAATTTTAAGTCTTGTCTTGGAATAGCAAATTCTGGTTATTGTGAATAAGCCAATCCAGCATGGGTGAGTAGTAGCTGATGCTGGCAATCAATTCTTGGCAGCCACTCACTCACACATGACTCATCACCAAGAGGTGCATTTCTCTGTGTATATATGCTGAGAGTTTACTTTAATCCCTATTTTAAGAATTAAAGTATACTTGCCTGATGGTGGAAATGTTAGGTGCAGCCTTAATGACCCTAGTGTAGTCAATAGGCATTAAACCCCATTAAGCAACCATCATGACTCATTGAATTCTCCTGAGCAGTGGTAATCAGGCTTGGTCTTAGGGAGGGAAGGGCAGCTCAGTTCCTTGAATCAAGAGCCTCTCATAAGCAAGGTATTGCCCATCTCCCTCTCCTTGAGGGTCTCTGCATCCTAAAGAGGGTTTCCCTCCTTTCATCTGTTCTCTTCTTTTATCTCTGCTTCCCTTCTTTTACCTATGCTTCCCTTCTTTTATTTCTGCTGTTTTTTCATCTCTGCTTCCCTTCTCTCACCTCTGCTTCCCTTCTTTCATGTTTTCTTCCACTCACCCCAGCTGTTCTTCCTTCACATTTAAATACCTTCCTTCATGTCTTCCCTTCATTTACATCTACTTTCCTTCTTTTCTTAGTGTTTCCTGTTCCCTTCATCCATACCTAATCTGAAATGTTCAAATATTAAGCACAAACATGTATGGACAGTGAGTCATCTCCCTATCTACAATACTGATTCTGATGTTAACAAGAATGGAGGAGCACTGTAGTAAGCCTATTAACCAATGCTAGGCAAGTCTAACTCACACCCACTTATAGTTAAAGCTACTCAAAGTTTTTGCCCCATTTATGCTAACTTGGATTTTTTTTTTCCACTCATCTACAACTCGATTACCAAACCAGTACTTTATATATTCTTTGTAACTGTGTGTCTTCTGTCCCCTCAAGGGAGGTTCCTTGATGCTGGTGAGGGGTTCTTGATCTAGGGAGCTGGATCTGTGCTCCAGTTCCCTGAATTAAGCCTGAATACCTTCCATCCCCCCCCCTCTACAGGCACTGTATAATCCTACGGTTTTAGTGCTTCCCCCTTGATTATAATAATAATATCCAGGTAGACACGTCATTAAGTGAGAAGTATGCAATACTGCCTTGAGCGTACTGCACGTCCTTGACAACCATTATCCTCGCTAATAATTTCTAAATTTCTACAAGTACATGTACGTGATATACAGGCCTAGCTGACATAATTGACATACTATGTAGAAAGCCGTTTCTTATGCAGAGCATTTCGGGCAAATTAGGTCAATTTTGTCTCAAGAAGCGACCCACACCCGTCGACTAACACCCAGGTACCCATTTTACTGATGGGTGAACATGGACAGCAGGTGTCTTATGGAGACACGTCCTAATGTTATCCAGCCGTACCGAAGATCGACCTCCGGACCAGTGTGTGAGCTGAGTGTGCTAACAATCGAGCAATAGGGCACTTGGCAAGCCTTGCGGATTCTTCACGAACTTTGTATATATATCAATAAATAAGTTTATATCTGTGACAAAGTGGAGCTATGATTTAGGATGCTGTCGACATGTATGTGATGGAGAGCGACACAAACTCTTCTAAGTCTTCCTCGAAAGGGATGAGCAGGTCTTTTAAACCAAGAATGTCCTCTTGAAAAGTCACTACAAAGTTATCAGAAGGGACTTCATGAAAAATTACCCATATCAGTTGAAGGATCTTCATAAACATCGTCAACAGTCAACTGAAGGATCTTTATATACATTGTCATCATCAGCTGAAGGATTCATCTTCATCAGCAGCGGGAACTTAACATGACTCACTGCAGTAGGTTAGTTTATTGCAGGACTTGAAGTACTTATAAAGCCAAGTAATAAATGACACTGTTAAATACAATGAGGGCAACTACGAGTACTGCAGAGTACGTCGGACAAGGAGAGAAGCAGGACAGTTCTTTCCTGGTCTCTGCCATTAAAAACTCATTCCAGATATAATTCCACACGAATCAGTATCGTATTAGCAAGAGATACTTTGGCCCATACTGCCTCTGTACTGCAGCGCTGTATAGCCCTTGTGGTTTAACGCTTCTTTTTGATTATAATAATAATAAACATAATAATGCCTCTGTACTGTCATTTTGGGTGTCCGCAAAGCTTGTTACGCTAATATGGAAGCCCTGAGACAGTTGGTACTTATGACGACACTTGATAGCATTAATAAGTTCCCATTTTCGTTACCGCATTTGCTCATTTACCAAAAGCAAAACTCCACAGCAGACAACCACCGGAGATGGTGTAGCTAGCCATCTTGTTTACCAGACGAGTTGCTATCACCTGAATATATGTATAAGTTTATTGTATTATAGGTATAAGTTGATCGTATATACTTCTCTGCCGAAAAGAACGCAATATGGTCTAGTATTTTGGTAGCCGAATATAGAGATAGTAGTGGTAGTGTAATGTGGTGATAGTGGTGGTAATATGGTGATAGTACTGTGGTGATAATAGTGTGTAGCAATAGAGGTAGTACTGTGGTGATTGTTGTGCGGTGATTGTAGTGTAGTGTGGTGATAGTGGTGGAAATTTGTGTTAGTAGTGTAGTGTGGTGATAATGTAATGTGATGATAGTGTAGTGAGATTATTTTTTGCAACAGCGGTAAAACGCTCGCATATATGAGCATTTTTACGATGCCGGAAATATCATATATTAGTTTTAGTGGCAACTGGTGCAGGGAAGTAAGTAATCAGTCTATACTACAGAAAAATAAGAGAACTTGGCAACTAGCTTCATGATAGGTAGCCAGGGACCCGGGGTATGAATGACTGTGTCAGACACACTCCAATACTGGTGGAAGTTGGATGTGTTACTATCTTAGTGTATAATACATTCTAACTTTATAATAATCTAGGCTGGAAGAGTAGAAGGATCCTGACTATCGTTGGAAATTATCAAGATTATTTTTCATAATTTTCAACACCTTTTGAATTTTGAGATCTGCAGAAATGTAAGTACGTATATAATTATTGGACCGAAGATATGATATGACAAGTATGTAATTGTGTTATTGACTTTGTCTTTCAAATCAATGAATATTTGGCGAGTAGAACGCTAGTATTTCCTATGAATTATTGACTTACTGAAGGATGTTAGCTAAGCAGTAGAAAATACTTAGTATATGTGCATGAAGATCATAATTACTTTTGAGAGCGATCAAGTCACATTGTACCATTTTAATATTGTTATTTACGACGTTCTGGTCATAAAAGAATGTGTGGTAGGCACTTAGTCACTTCTAGAGCTTTTTAATTAAAGCGAAACTTCGCATGAGGGAAATGGGGTCCATTTTTTTTTTTTAAGAAATGTGATAACCAGAAATTTACCGTATACTTTTTCTGTAGTATTTGATTTTCGGAAGTAGTTGTATCTACTTTATCATTAGAGCAGCTCCATTGATAAATCTGGCTCATTGTATGGGCCTGACATTTCCGGTAGTGTCCCCCAACCCACGCGATCTCGTTACCCTTCTCACTGGCTTATGTCTCCGTTCTCCTGCCTCTGTTAGCTTGAAGCCTACTGCGCAGGCGAAACCTCACTGACGATACCCAGGTGTTGCTCGTGTCTTAATCATCACTGGTTAAAATAGCCCTACTGCTTGCAGGGTAATTTTTATCAATATTATAACTCGACGTTGTGTGGCTACAGTGGGAACCTCTGAAATATTCAAGAATGTCTGCTCAAGTCTTGTCTGTCATGAGGCTTGATTGTGGAGAGTACAATAAAAGGCGAATGTCAAATATTTCTATACAAAGGTTTATAAAGCGTTGACTATGACATGTTGTACTGTTTGCCTGAACCTTGATACTTACCACAAAACAAACCGACAAAACTAGGATATTAACAAAATACCTATTAAGACTTGCTGATGTACAAATTGCAAGCCATTTGTACTGGCTTAGTTTTTAAGTCCGGCAGTGGCGCTAGACCACGTGGTCGCTAATACACAGCCCCTAAAGTTTTCTACCCACTGCCCACCTACCCTGACTCCCTCGCTTGCCTTCTCTACTTCCCGCCCGCGCTCCCTCCCAAACAGGGCTGGAGGATACAAGGGTCGGCAGGGGAAAGGGAGGGGATGATGGGAGTCTAGTAACACTAGGCTGGGTGGCGCCATTGGGCTTCACACAATTTCTTAATCATCGACCAGTGTGGTCTGGGTAGCTGGGTTCACACGCCAGCCACACCAAGCCAGCTGTTGCCGCTCCAGCGTTTCCTTAGTCGTAGGTCTCCCTTGAATCGATTTAACTAAAATTGACACTTTGCCAGATATAGTTTGTGGGTTAAAAATCTGAGGTAGGTAAAGTTATTAATTCATACTATACAAAGGAGCC